ACACACACACACACACACACACACACACACGCACACACAGAATGTTGAAAGTTGTTTTCCTGCAGCTGCAGGGAACCAGACTGTCTCTGTTTTGGATCCTTGGTGTAAAACCATTGTGTTCACTCTGCCTGGTTTCGCTGTCATTCAGAACCACTTTATTATTGATCACCTTATAAACTCTGTGTTGTGCTTTATATACAAAATAAACCTGACTGAGTGATTCCATCTAATGGTGCTCTAATTATTTTTTTTCCACAACACCATATAATTACATAACCAAATTAAACAGTAAAATTAAACTGTTTTTGGTGTTGTTTGTATTGAGCACAATTCAGGCATATCAATATGCATAATTTAATTTATCTCGGAGAAGAAAGGTTTCTTCTCCGAGATAAATGAGAAGATCATTTATCTTGCTCAGTTTTCTCAGAGTTTGTGTGTATTTAGAATGTTTAATTGGTTTTCAACACAGACAGAAACCCAACGAATCACATGGCAGATAGTCAGAATAATTTTAGCTTTGAAAATTAGCAAATCTCCAAAGCTAATTTGGAAATTTGCTTTTCCAAATTTCCTTCTAAACATAAAAACTAAGTCAAGTCAAAAATATTGTATTAAATTAAAATTTGTAGTTTCAAATTATCTCTCACTGATAACTACTCATCTTTTATCGTCATTCATTTTAACCAATTGTCTTTCAGTATTTTACATTATATTTGTTGGTGATACAATAGTTGATTATTGTTAAAATACTTTAAGGATATTTTTCTTCACAAAAGCTCCATATTTGTTAAGTGTGTGTTAAATGAGTTGTACTTTAGCTACAAGTCATGTTTTAATGTAAGGATCTAGAAACATGTTTGAAATTGTAAACTTATGGTTTAACCAACTCTTGGCTGACAGGATTCATTTTAGACCTCAAACAGGACATACTGGGTTCATAAAATGAATTCCATGTATGCATTGAAATGCGTTCCCAACCTCTATCAGATTTGTACTAAACTCAAAACACAGCGCTGTTCTTAAACATTTACTCCTTCTGGTGACTGGTGTGTCACTGCTTCTGATAATTGTTGAGAAATCGAAAATTGAAAACTAAACTCATAAGTGCAAGGAATTACAACTGCATGATTTAACAGACATAGCTGACGGCCAAGCAAAGTGTCTGAGCTTATTTTGTAAAAGCTGAGACTTTTTAATAATACTGCCAAGTGCAAGAAATGTTATATTAACTTTTTACTCCTACACTAGGGGCTTATATTTTGTGCTGGGTGACTTAATTGAAGGTTTGTTTTCAAACCAGGTCTATGAAACGACAAGGTTCTGAAAGGTTTGAACCTTACAACTCAGAGTTGCAAGAACATTAAGCTGAAGGTATTACCTATTTTCTAATGTACATTGTGCCATTTTGTATCACAATAAAGTATGTTATCATGAGCTGTTATAAGAATACTGTATATCAAAAACAACTTGAAAGAAATTTGACGTCATGTCGCTGTCTAGAAATTGGCCTCTGTCTCTTTAAGAAGTTCTGACTCCTCATTGAGGATGTCATCACAACGAAGCTGCTCCACTTATGCAGCTTTGAGTTGTTCTTCAGAGCGTTGTGGTTTCTATGGTAAGATCATCAGCCACGCTGTTCTACCGGGGGTTTGCCAATCACTTCTGCACTGGTCCTGGTCCTGGTCCTGGTCTTGGTCCTGGTTCTGGTTTTGGTCCTGGTCTTGGCCTTGGTCTTGGTCCTGGCCCTGGTCTTGGCCTTGGTCTTGGTCCTGGTCTTGGTCTTGGTCCTGGTCTTGGTCTTGGCCCTGGTCTTGGTCCTGGTTTTGGTCCTGGTCCTGGTCCTGGTCTTGGTCTTGGTCTTGGTCTTGGTCCTGGTCTTGGTCCTGGTCTTGGTCTTGGTCCTGGTCTTGGCCCTGGTCTTGGCCTTGGTCTTGGTCCTGGTCTTGGTCTTGGTCTTTGATCCTGGCCCTGGTCTTGGCCTTGGTCTTGGTCTTGGTCCTGGTCTTGGCCTTGGCCTTGGTATTGGTCCTGGTCTTGGTCCTGGTCTTGGTCTTGGTCCTGGTCTTGGTCTTGGTCCTGGTCTTGGCCCTGGTCTACAGAACCTCCTGTTCAGATGAAATACGGTATGTTTCTGTCAGAAAAACTAATAAGAGAGAATGTCCTGACTATCATTAGAGATAAAGTCCAGTGGGACGCCTCCCCAGTACCAATGCAGACAATGTGTGTACTTTGTGTGAAGTTACCATGGTTACAAGGATAGAAATGGTCTTGAATTTTTAAATGTTAATTGAGCGTTAATTGAAACATTGTCAAAATTTAAATCATTCAACTCAGTATAAGGGATGGAAAAATTGTTTGAATATACAAACAATAAATGCATAACATTGGCCACAAACAGGCAATGATATCAAATATGCTGTCAAATTAAAGCAGTTTCAAGGACAGATGAACACCTCAGTCATTAGATTTTAGTTTTGGCTTGTTTGCAAAGACTAATGTATCACTCGGATGAAAGTCAGGAATGTAGGTTTTTCCCATCAAGAACATTGCAGTGTTACTTTCCTGTGAAAGTTCTGTGCCAATTCTCCAATTTGAAAGGGTCACACAGAAACCCAGAGCTTATTTACACATCAATCAATGTCACCCATTTGCTTCAAGGTTCGTTTTGAATGACTGATGGTTAATTTTCATGTTTCTCAGTGACTAACTCTAACAGGCTGTCAGATGTTTCATTGATGAGTCGATTTTTTCTCACCTTTCATTCTGCCCTCTAGATATCATTTTAGCTTGTCTGTTCTTTGTAAGTTTGTGTGATCTTCAAATATCTCTGTTCACTCACATGGTGAACATGAAATGAAGATCTTATCATGGTGGATTGGTATGCGATTAATTACACATAACTCTTAAACTTGCCAACATGTTGTTATAGCAGCACCACAAACTTCAATAAACTTTGATTATAGTGTTGATTGATGGACCAACACATTCATGGAGTGACTGGAAGATTTCAAAAGATTTGTGCTGTGCATGTTTGTATTAAAGCCTCTCTTAGTCTGTATTTTGTATAACCACCTTTTGATGAAATTATGGCTCCCAGTATTTTAGGCTGTCTCTAACCATTTCTGCAGACAGAAATGATCTTTCATTTTTATTTTTAATAAAGCTCAATCTCAGATTAAATTGAAAGCATCTTTCAAGAACTGTTTTTTTATTATTAATCCTCATTTCCATTTGGTCTCAGGTCTGTACATTCATTGGACCATTTTGACACAAGAATATCAATGTAGACTAAGTGACTTACTCTTTGTCCCCTCTGCTTCTCCTGGACCCCCCCAGCCCTAAAGTTTAACAGGAGAATGAGGAGGAGGAGGAACTGGAAATCTCAGGAACAACTTGGAAGGTTTCTCTAGAGTCTCAATGAAAGCTACAGGAGCGGTTCTCTAGACTGTTACTGATGGCTAAGAAAGGTCGTACGAAGGGCGAGAAGCCCGAAGCCCTGATTTCTGCCTTACAAGCAGCCAATGAAGATCTCAGGTCCAAACTAACTGACATCCAGATAGAGCTGCACCAAGAGAAATGCAAGGTACAGTCAAAAATACACCAGGCTCTACACCTTAATGTGACCTATTTTACTTTGCAAATTCTAAAGGAAAGGAAAATGTAAAAATTGTCCAATAAATTCCTCTTTTCCTGCTTCAGGTAAGCAAGCTGGAACGAGACAAGGTGCAAGAGGTAAAGCGGGTGCGAGAGCAGGAGCAGCACCGCCACACTGCCATGTTGACGGAGCAGCGGGCCAAATGGCACGAGGAGAAGCAGAAAGAGCTTCAGGCTCTCAGGGAAAACCTGACGCGGCAGCATGAGCAGGAGCTGGCACGGCATGCCAAGATCAAGGACCAAGAGAACCAACGGCTCAAAACCGCCCTGAACGCCATTCGGGATGGCAGTGGAGAAAAAGTAAGTTTATTATACCAACTTTCTTCAAGTTTTCCTTCTTAATGCTGCCCATGTTTGTGGATCTTATGTGAAAGAAAGAATAATAAATAAAGGCTCCATACTGTGATTTATCGAGGGAGAAAGAGAAGTGCTCTCACTCTCCCTAGGACATGAAGAGCACTGCAAGGCTTTTCATGGCCTGCAGACCGCAGTTCCCTAAGTGACCACTTGTGACAAAAATTGTACTAAATCAAAAATAAAAATTTGCAGCCAGAACATTTAATATGACTGCGTCTCCAGGAAAGCGTGCTTTACATTAGCCATTCAGTGCAAGTCTTTCTTTTCTCCACATAATCAGCCATTGTTTTACTTGTTAAGACTTGTATCAGCTACATATTTTAACTAGGACAGTGAATGTCACAGGACTCAGACACAGAAACGTTAACGCTGCAGTTAAATGTGTGAACATGTGGAAGTAATGTTTCGTTTTCTGTTTAACAAATTGAGAAAGCATATCTAGTAAAGTTGGTGAATTAGTAAAAATCACAGTAAAACAAAATCTTTTCCAATGTTAGCAACTTTATGCTCACAAACAACCCCTATGGTTGCTATAGTGATCTCACTGCAGACTCACTGCTCAAGGTGTCTGCTGTACATGGCATGAAGTGTTGTTGTAATCCCATACTCCGGCTTGTCCCTTTGATGTAAAACTATTTTCAGACAAGATTGTTTTATTGGAAATGAAGAAAAATCCGTCTTCCTCACTTGTCTGATTTTGCAAATCTCACCTTTTGCTGCCAGAACTGAAAAGTTTTAGGATAATTCAAAAAACTCACTTGGGCATTTTGTGTGCTGGGATCATGTGACCAAACATCAAGTTTACATATTTAAGTTACAAAGATCTTCATTTTGAGAAGAAAATCTGTTTTGGGTTTACAGTAATAGAAAGTTAGACGGTTATTTAATCCATTTATTGTAGTGCCTTTGTTTTTTGATGGGCATAAGTGCAAAAGCTCAAATTGTGCTTTAAAGGGGGATTTTAAAATTTAGCTGCTGAGCAAGTAACAAGTAAAGTAAAAAGAAATAAAAAATGGCGGTCATTACAGAACAAAAATCCAATCCTTTTTTTAATAAAACATGTTTTATTCCTCTTCAGGTGCGCACAGCGCTGACCCTGGAAGCCAGAGAGGAGGCACGGCGTTTCTTCGACCAGGAGAGAGTGAAGCTCCTGCAGGAGATAGTCGAGCTGAAGAACGCCAAGAAGCAGACCGACGAGGCTCTGAGCAACATGATCCAGGCAGACAAGATGAAGGCTGGAGACCTGCGAGTCGAGCACCAGCAGCATCAGGAACAAATCTCTAAAATCAAGTGGGACTGTGAGAGGGACATCCGCAGGCTGGTATGCACTGACAGTGATTTAATAAATAGGGAGCCAAACAAAGCCAGAAATGAGAAAAGTGACTCAGTTTCCATCCGTTCATGTGAGCCAGTCCAGTTATGTTGGCTCTGAGCCTGCAGTTTCCCAGAATGATCTTCTCCAGGTTTATGGGATTCCTACTTATGTTTGGACAAACTGTTGAAACATTTTGTATCACGATGTGTTGCATTGATTTACTTTGTATTTTACTGTTTCAAAACAGCTGAACAATGATGTTTTCAATAACAACATTATTCATATGTCAGATAAGACTCCTTTCACTCAATAATTTCCTTTTCTGTCACAAAAGGTGGATGAAATCAAATCTAAAGACCGCACCATTTTCTCCCTGGAGAAGGAGCTGGAGTCCACTGCTGGCTGCCTGCAGAAGCTGCAGCTGCAGAAAGACGCCCTGGATGAACAACTATTCCTCGTCAAAGAGGCAGAGTGCGGCCTGGGAAGTCCAAAAAGGGAAATCCCAGGAAGAGCTGGCGATGGCGCAGAGCACTGTGGAAGCCCTGTAAGCAGAAAAGTTCATTTTTAGAATTTTAATAAAAAGTGGACTTACTGTAAGCATAATCAAAAACAAACTGATCTCAATTGGGTTTATGGAAACAAAAGATTGAATTATGTAATACCACAAAGATAACGCAAGAATACCGTAGTCTTCTGGACAAAGGGAGGAAGTAATTTTTAAGATTAAATCTCCTAGTTTATGTCAGTTAGAAAATTTTCTAATGAAAAGATTGACTGAAACAAAACACTATACAGAGTGCAGATTTTTAAAAGATTATAGGGAATGCACAGAATTTTAGCATTCAAGGCTGTGGAGCAAAATATGACGAAGAAGCCATGAAGCTCCCTCAGACTCCAGGCTGAACATCTGTTTATATTAAACCCAAAGGAATTTATATCCCTGGCATATTTAGGTTTAGTATAATCTTTTAATTTAGCCTCTGTGGTCTTCTGACAGGAAGTAATATTAACATTTGGAAACCTGACTCTGACGGAGACGCTGAGAAGGAGCCAAAAGTTTAGAGTGAGGACAATAAGACCTTTCAACACGTGGACTTCATCACCAAAATAAATTCACAAATACCAGTGAAAACATGCAAAACGCTGCTCTGTAAATGTGATTTGATTGCTGTAATACTAGAAATAAGATTTCCAATTTATTATTAAGTATTCAACAGTTTATGGTGTAAATAAAAACAGATTCTATGCACTAATATTGCTTTCACTTTTGTTCCTTACCTTTAATGAGAAGACTGCCCTCTTGTCAGCTTTAATCTTTTGATGATAATGTTAAAACTAAGCCTGGCAGGCATATGTCTAATTTTAAGCCTAACTGTTTAAAATTAGACATACAGTTAGGCTTAAAAACCTCTACATTTTGACTGATGTGTACAATTGGCACAATGTCAGAATTTTCAACCTTGATTATGACTGTTAGAAAAATGTTTTTCATTCTTCTGTACTCTTGTGCTGTGACCATGAAAGATAAGTGCTGAACATCAGTGATCAGGTCTGCAGCTGACGCACGGATAAAGTTTCAGCATTAAACAAACACATGGAAGATTTTAATAATGTTTCCTCAATTTTAAGGATCTGTGGTGTTTTCTGATTGTATCTTCTTCTTTAGCTGCTTACACCCCTTAGTGAAAACAGACAGTAAAAACTGTTTGTAGGTTATTTTTCAGTTAAATCCATCATTAAACAAGGCCAGCATTTAGCTTTTAAATATGGGGGAGTTTATAGGGATTATTTTATGTTTTAAATTCCAGCCTGAAACTTCTGTGTTTAATCAGGCTCATCTGTGCAAAATAACACAGAGTGTAGATGTGAAGTGGAAGAAAATGGCTTATGACTTTTCCTCTTCTTCTTCTACATATAAATATATGAAAAATGTTTCGAGTATGTGTGTATTCACCACACCTGAGTTATTACTGCAATATCAGCTGTAAAACTTTTTGGATATCGCTACCAGTTCCTCACATCTTGAAGAAGAAAATTCAGCTAATTTTTATTTTTGGGGTATAAGGATGGAGGTGCTGAATATAAATCTACTTTTCACACATTCATTTTAAAAGTAATTTTTCTCATATGTCTCTTTCTACCTTAATTCACCATTTCACACAATGTTGAAATGATCTGTTACATAAAGCCCTGATAAAATACATTAAAGTTTGAGGTTGCAGAGCAGCAAATGTGAAGTTTTGAAAATTTCTGCAAATCCGTTTCTTCAACATATCAATTTGAAGTTCAGTAGAATCTGATCAGGTGGTTTTGCTCCAATAGAATTAAATTCAAATTATGAAAAAATTGATCCTTCACATATTAAATCTGTGCTTTTTTTTGCTTCAGGACCTGCGAAGAAATCAGCGGCGAATTGCTGAACTTAATTCAACCATACGCAAGTTGGAGGATCGCAACTCGCTGCTGGGGGACGAGAGAAATGAACTAGTATGAAGAAACAGTCAATTTTGTTTTAAAACATAAAGTATAGAGTTTTCTTCTCACTAACGCATTACTCTAAACTTTTCATAAATTTGGTAAGGGGTGATAACCAAAGTCATTCATATTTATTATATGCCATAAAACTATACATGTATATTTTTATTATACATGTTATGGCAGTTTAAACTTATGATGGCTCAGTTCACAGCATTTGAGGCAGAAATGTGAATTTCTTTTAAGGTAGCACCTCACACAGCTTTCTTGTGTAATATTTTAGAAAAATCAAAATAAGTCAGTCAAGATTTAGACCTGGTTTAGACCTGGTTCGTCATCAGGTACAATGTCCAGATGTTTAAGGTTCCACATTCATCTGTTATATCATCAAGGCGGGATCACTTCAGAAAAATAATGGGATCATTAATAAAGGAAAATATGTGAAAATACAGAGGAAACTTCTTCAATCAACCAGGAAGTCAAAGCTGAAGTACCAATATGTCTTTAATAACAATTCTAATATACTGGCAATTAGCAAATTGAACAGATTTTAGTCATTTTAAATGATATTGATCAGGGAAAGCTTAGACTAACCTGTTTGCTGTGCCACATGTCTGACCACCATTTTCTTTTCCAACAGCTAAAGCGAGTTAGAGAGTCTGAAAAGCAGTGCAAACCCCTACTGGACAAGAACAAGCTGCTGAATAAGAGGAACGACGACTTGACTCAGAACATTCAGAAGCTGGAGGAGAAGCTGAAGAGCCTGACAAAGGAGAACCTTGAAATGGTCAGCAGGGTCACGTCTCCGTCAGTGTTTCTAACGGCTGATCAACAGTCACACATGGTGACCTTTGTTGTTGCTGTGTGTGCAGAAGGACAGGATAGGCTCCCATCCTCCTCTGAAGAAGCTGAAGTCCCTTAATGACCTGGACCAAGCTCATGATGACCAGGAAATAGCCTTCCTCAAACTTCAAGTGCTGGAGCAACAAAGCATGATTGATGAACTAACGAGAGTATGTTTACTCCGTCTGTCTGCCAAAGTGTCTTTTTTACACAAACCAAAATGTACGCTGAGAACAAAACTAGAGATGAGTAATAAAATATCATTTTCATTTCAGGATTTCTTCAAAAAAGTCAGTTAAAAATCCCTTTTTATTTTTTTATTGCCATAGAATTGGTCTGATGAGCAAACTGCCAAATTTTCTGAAATTCTCTGAAGTTTTTCCAGCTTAAATGTTTCCCTGGAAGTGTCCAGAATACAAACAAACTTCTTAAAGTATAGCACATGTTCATGAGTGATAAAGCATTGTTTTTATATTGATTGCATCTCTCAATCAATCATTCAGTGTTCAGCATTGATGTAACTTTATTTGTTCTGTCATCCGTGTCCTGCTTCCAGGATCGTGAAAAACTGCTGCGAAAGAAGAGGCATAAAAGAAGCTCAAGACCAGTGAAGGTTGCAAATTATTCTTATTTTTTTTTATCAAAAAGGATAATAATATAATATATCAGTATTTTTAGCAGTGCATTTGTCTTTTCATGCTAAATGTTTCAATCAGCTATTGGGAAATCCTCTGAAACATTGACAGCAAAGCATACTGTTGGAAAACCACAGCTGTGTTTCTGTGCAGAGACACATCGTAGTAGACACCTTCTTTGGCTATGATGAAGAGTCAATGGACTCTGAGTCTTCCTCAGTGGCGTCGTTTCGGATGGACAGAACCCCAGCTACTCCTGATGAAGACATGGCCGATGTAAGACCTTTTGTTCACAAATGAATGTAATTATTGTAAACATTAGCAAAACCTTGAGATGTTAATCCTTAAAATTATAATTCTTTTCCATGTGTGTCAAACCAGGGGCTCGCAAACGAAGAATCTGAGTTACGGTTTCGCCAGCTGACCAGGGAATACCAGGCCCTTCAACGAGCCTACGCCCTGCTGCAGGAGCAGAAGGGAGGCATTCTGGATGCAGAGATGGAGGCCAAGGTACCACACACTGCACCTGATGGCCATGGTCACTTCACTGGGAGACTCACTATTGACCAGATTTATAATGTAATTTGTCTAATTCTGTGTTTAGTCGTTGTGAAAAGGCAAATCAGCCTCTCTTCAATTCCTAAAGGAAGATATTTTTCATTACTTTTAGTTTGCAATAGTTATATTTATTTTCATGTTCAAAATTACGAAATATATCATAAAGTGCAAAAGAAAACAAGAATCCTTTAGAGCAAGAATGTTTTGAGAGATGGATATTGATTTAATACAATCTGACAAAATGAGCAAATTTGGTTTTATGAAAGGAGGAAACAAGAAGTAAAAACACCTGTAGCAGTTTGTGGTCCTATTTTTTCTCATCTTCCCTCAACTTCAGCTTGTTTGTTCCCTTAAATCCAAGCTTCCAGCTGTTTCATTCATGGGTCAGAAAGTGTTTCCAGTAGAGAGATTGTTTTTGGTAGGTGAGGTGAAAAGCAGCCTGAGGCAGGATTCAAAGGGTACTTTTGTTTTTCTTAAATCAGAAAATAACATTTGAAGTCTGATTCTGGTTTATTTATATTTCACACTTTTGAGATGTTAAGGTTATATTAATCTAATATTATATCTTGCTTTTTCTTTTATTGTGACCTTACATTCATTCTCCTAAAGGTGGAATGCAGAAGTCTTGTGAAAACATTTTAAGTTGACAAAAAGATTACTTCTAGTGCCATAGTTCAGTTTGTATTAACTTCTTTATGTGCTCACTTGTGCTCAGGAGTATCATACACCAGTTTCATTCAGAGGCATAGCTCATAGTTTAGTCCATCCATAGTGTTATTTCACAACAGATGTCACCGCAAAACACTCCATGCATTGAACATTTTAAATCAATGTCTGCTAAATTTGCCTTTTTACTGCATGAAAAGGTGGATTTATCAGAGTCAGGTGCATCACAAAAGGCAGCAGTTAGAAATTCAAACCTTTGGTTCTTTTGAACCCAAACCAAAGTTTTTTTTCTTATAAACTTGATTTCCTCTTCAGCTTTTTGAAACTTTAAAGCCAGAAGAAAACCAAGACTGGAGTCCAAATGTGAAAGGCTCAGTGAAAAATACATGAAAATCAAAGTCTGTAGATACAGAAGGTCTTAGGACCAGTGAAGTAAAGCTAAAGTTAGAGGATTTATAGATATGCTCAACTGGCAAATTCTTATCATGACTTCTGCAGTCATGTTCTTTGATGAGGTGGCGGCTTTTAGATTATAATTAGGATTGGGTATTATTATGGAAATAAGGTATTCTAGCCTTGAACTTGTGAAAGTCTTTTTATTCTTAGATTGCAGTGGGTGTTTAAAATGAGGAAAATATTTTGTAATTTTGTTGTGGATTTGCAATATGGGAGAACAAACCTTGGATAAAAATCAACATTGTTTCAGTATATTATTCATGTGCTGTATATATGTCTTCTTTTCTTTTCCTGACTTCTGCACATACTTAATAGCAAAATTTTCATAGGTGTTTAAACACTTAAGTGCACAAAAGAAATGTGGTGCACAGAGGCATGACCCCAGGTTCTAACAGATCTGAACATGAGGAAAGATGACACACAAAACCATTTTCTTGGAAAACTTAATTAACTTAACTTACTACATAAAAGAGTTTGGCTTTCCTAATGTTTCAGGCTCACAAGCAACTGCAGTCGGACGTACTGCGGTACAAAGCCAAGATAGAAGACCTGGAGAAGGAATTAACCTTGAAGGGACAGGTGAGAACAACATAATTAATGTAACTGGCATACATGCATTTGCCTTGCAGCAGAGTCTGTATTTTAATGCTCATGAGTTCATGAAAAAATGCGTCATATCGCGCTTTAAGCTATGTGTCTGAAGCCAAGTCATAGTGAGTTGGACCATAAAGTAATTTCTCCTGGCAGCTATCTGTTTACTTGTAGGTTTTTATGTTTTTTTTAATGTGTGTAAAGACAAAAGCGGCCTTCATATCAAAAAGGAAACTTGTGTTTTATTAGTTCAGACTTTCATCTTAGTGAAATACACCTAATCATCAACTGAACAGACTAACATAAAGCGGTGCATACTTTTTATGCATAAAACAACAATAACATAAAAAAGAATATGATTCTCCAATGTTTTATAGAAATAAAAATCTGAAAAGTTTGGCATGTGTATTTATTAATCCCTTTTAACGGCACATCTAGGGACTAAAATTATTGCCTGATGTTTTTTTGTGCATTCACTCATGCTAAGTCTGGGAGGAATAATAGTCTCTTACAATTGTTCCCATAGATATTTAATTTCATTTAGATCTTACTCTCAGAATATGCTTTGTCATAAATTGGAAGCTTTGTCTGTTTCCAGGATTGCATGAACATGTTTGTGTCCAGCTGGAAGATGAACCTCCATCCAGTCAGGTCACATGTCAGGTCATCTCTTCCACACTTTCATCCAGGATCACCCCGTTTTTAGCTCTACCTACTTTGCAACCGTCTCTGACCAGTTTTCCTCTCTCTAATATTGGATAACCAGTCCAGAGTGCCATACTTTCACCATGTATGTTTAGGATGATGTACAGAGAAATAGATATATTTTGGTTTTATTGGACCAAAGCATGTTTATTCTGAATGTTTTGTTTTTAAGGTTTTATTGAGAGAATGGGAAAGACGTGCAGCAAAGGTCACCAGCACAGGAATTGAACTTGTGACATCAGGCCTTAGTCCTCGACGTGGCCTTAGTCGAGGCCTTAAGTAGGGGTTGGCTTAACACCCACCACAGATCCCCTTCATTCTCAATGTTACAGAGACTACGAAACAAACCGGCTTTCTTCTGGCTACATTTGTGACGATTAAAACTGTTAACAGATTCACTTGCCATCTTCAGATCTCTGTAATGTTTAGAGATTTACCAGGGGCCTCTTGGCTGCTTCTCCATCTCATCTGGTGCTTCATTTTTCCACGTTTTGTTATGTTGCAGCTTTAGACCAAATTGCATTTGTTGTTTTGCAAACTCATGGATGGTGGATGGTGACATCTGTGCAGCCATTTTCAGATCTATCCTGAGATCTTCAATCAGATTCCAGTCTGGAGTCCGGCTGGGCGCCCCAGTCTGAGGCCAAGAGAGCGCTGGAGCAGTTTTTCTCCCAGGATGTTTCTGCTGCTTTCATCTTTCCATCTGTCCTCTCCAGTTCCTTCTGCAGCAAGACATCCGACTAAAACCTTTCAATCCAATTGCTCAGTTTAGACTTTACAAAGAGTCCTAATGGCTCCAATTTCTTCCATTTATAAATGATGAAGCCCACTGAGCCTCACTGACACCTTCAACTGCTTTGATTTCATGCTTGGTGTTTGACCTCTGACCTGCACCGTCAACTGCAGGACTTTAAGTAGACAGATGTGTGTCTTTACAAATCAAGAGACACAATTAATTAATTAATCAATTAATTAATTAATTGTTAATACAATTAATACATTTGCAAAATACTTAAAAAAACCTACATTGTCATAATGGGGTATTTGTGTGTGGAATTTTGAGGAAATGGTTAACTTGGCTGTAACAACATGTGGAAAAAGTGAAACAGTGTAAACATTTCATGGATGCAGTAATATTAATGATCTCCTTTCACATCTTGTCAGGTAATTTGGACGGGCATGACGAGGCAGGCAAACAGTTTCTTTTTTGGTGATGGAATCAACATGCCTATATGGGATATAAATCATGAGATTTGTAACCCAACTCTTCCTTAAACTTCTCCGCTGCTTTATCCATCAACCAAACATCTCCTGGCATGTCTAGGAGATATTAAAGCTTGGTTGGCCTTGAACTTTTTAAACTTTAATGAAAAC